TATATTCATTGAATAATTTCTAATAATTTTATTTATTTATTTTAGGCATTATATCAACAATGTCTTCATGTTAAATCAGCCATTCCACATCCACGTATAATGGGAGTTATTCGTGAATGTGGTGGTAAAATGCATATGGGAGAGAGTGAGTAATCGGTAGATTATTATTAATGAAATAAAAATAATTTATAATAATAATATAAAATTTGTTAATTGAAAACTAATTTTTTGTCAGAGGAATGGTTTAAAGCTCAAACGGACTTCTTTGAATCTTTCAAGAATTATGATGAAGCTGGAAGTCCTCAACGTATACAAGTATTAAAGTAAGTGAATGAATTGTGATTAGTAGGTTTTAGACAAATTTTATGATGCACTTTATTTCCTTACTGTTTTACTTATTCACAAACTACATAGATATTTGGTACTTGCGAATATGTTAAACGAGTCTCAAATTGATCCATTTGATTCTCAAGAAACAAAACCGTAAGTTTGCACAATATTTATTTGTTTTGGATTCATCATTGATTTAAACATAAAATTTTTTGGATAATTTATAATGTTAGATATAAACATAAAAATGAAATAGTCGCAATGGTTAATTTAGTTACTGCATATCAACGCAAAGAAATTAGAGAATTTGAAAAAATCCTAAGAGGTGATTATTTGTAAAATCAAATTAAATATTTTTTTCACAACGCTTAAACATTCAATCAATATTATTATTATCATCTAGAAAACCGTGCTACAATTATGGATGATCCTTTTATACGTACATACATCGATGACGTTCTTAAAAATATTCGAACACAAGTACTTCTTCGACTTATAAAACCATACACAAGAATAGAAATACCATTTGTATCAAAGGTATTATTCTTTATTCTTTAATTTGATAAAAAAAATTTTTTTTAATATTAATATATTATTTTATTTTTTATTATTTTTCATAAATAAAGCAACTTTAACAATATTATTATTTGTATATATAGAAACATGCAGGGCTGGATCCTAACAGTGATATCCTAA